GACTATCCACACTTCGGATCGACGATCCCGCATACGTTTTTACACCATCCGACGCACGGTTCGTCCACTTCGCAGCTCTTTTTTTTTACAGACTTAGGAACCTAGAACCAGTTTTGTTTCTGAAAGATAATTCATTGTCCTTTCTTTGTTGATTGAGCTTAGAAATGCAGCTTTATTGGGAATTGCTTCATATTCTCCGTCAGCATTTGCAGGTGGCGCAAGGAGCTGAAGGCATTCACTGAAAATTGGCCTTTGAACGAGAATAAATATCTTCCCGGAAAGTCGTTTGAGACGAAACGATTTGTGAATGTCTTAATCCGGGCACGCGACGGTGGTTCAATCTTGAGGGAAGAAGTGTTGAAGGAAATCCAGGTTTTGAACCAATGGATTTCCAACAATATCAGTGTTCCTACAGATGATGGGCGCTTCAATCTCACCTATCAGGTATTGAAGAAAAATGCTTTTTTTGCGAGTTGTTAGTTGAAAAATCTTTTTCAAGGACCTTTGCCTCAGCTATGACTGGGTTTGTGGTGGAAACGAACACATAGACATGTTACTCGAGAGGAACAGAATTGGTCACTTCCTCGACCTTTCTTATCCCAGAGGAGGAAACAAGGTAACTCTATCAAAATCAAAACTCAAGAACTTTTCCCAATTTTTTCAGGACACACCTGTCTATCTCGGTACAATTCTTGGGGATGTCGAACTGTTTCGCGAGAACAACACTGTGAAAACTGCTAAAATCACGCAGCTGTTTTATTTCTTGAAACAGGAACAATCAATTGTTCGACGTTATTCTTCGGATTTTTCTTACGCTGTGGAGAGATTCTTTCTGCACTACTACAAATCCGATATAATTTCTATTTCTTTTGCTCACTATCAATCCTTACAGGTTAGTTCAGTAATCTCAGTAATCTCATCAATTCAAAAAAGGATTTCTTAGGTGGAGCGGTGTGAAATTATTGATGTTTGTATTTCATTACCATGTATTACTGTTGCTGGTTATATAAGCCGCAGAAGGAGAAGTTTGCGCATTTTTGACATAATAATTTAATCTACATTGGTAGCCCGTTATTAATTTCACGATAAAAGGAAGTTTCTCAAAGCCAAGTATAAACTCAGTAATTTTAGCAACTATTATTATAAAATTGACTTTACAGCTATGTGCCTTAGAAGGAGCACGTACCTAACACTGTATATACCTGATATGATATAGGGGTAATATATGTACTGGATGAGGGATTCAATCATAAACTTCTAAAACATGCACGTTTAAAATAGCA